GACAGGTGATATGATGCGAGTGTATTGGAAGTCAAATGATGTGAACACTATGAAGGGGCTTGAGAAGTGTTAGGTAAATGGAGGTTCTTAGGGAATATTTATTTCAAATGGCAGGCGTTATGATAGGTATCATTAGCCCTTTAGTTGACTTCGGGCTTCACAGAAAGGAAGGGGAACACAAAAATGGCAAAAGGTCGAGAGGGTGGACACAATAATGATTCACAGACGTAAAAGAGACAGTCACAAAGGTAGAGAAAAGGTAAGGTAAGATGAGTACTGTGGAATCATTCGAATATGAAATGCGGTGGGGTTATGGTAGTTTGAAGTCAGAAGTCAACTGCCGGTTAATAGACTTTTTACCGTATGAGTATACGTTGACCAGGGTGCACCACGTGGAGGTAAGTCTATCACACACCCCCTCTCTTAGGGAATATGAATAAAAGTAGTTAACAAGTACGAAATACCCCAATTTTTATAAGTTGTTAGTTAGATCACACTAATGATGTGTTGAGGTGAAAACAAATTTCATTTTAAAGTTACTGCTACAATTGATCAAGGTCAATTTTTTTCGATTTTGTCTTGGGTATGTCACTCTTAGCAAACCCGAAATATTTGTATCAAATGGCAGGTGTTTTGATAGTTATCAATAGCCTTTAGTTGACTTCGGGCTTCAGAGAGGAGTGGAACTTCAAAGTGACAAAATGCCGAGAGGAGGGACAGAATAATGATTCACAGATATAAAAGAGACTGACAGACACAAAGGTAGAAAAAGGTGAGGTGAGTACTGTGGAAGTAGTCGAATATGACTTAGAGTGGTGTCATGGTAGTTTGAAGTTAGAAGTCAACTGCCGGTTAATAGACTTTTTGCCGTATGGGTATACGTTGCCCAGGGTGCACCAAGTGGAGATAAGTCTATCGCACACCCCGTAAACCCAAAATATAAGCAGGCTTTAGTATCACACATGACGATAATTAAAATGCTGACTGAATTGGAGGCTGATTTTTCCAAATGTATGAATAAGTTCAATTCGTTCACCCTTGAAGGTCACCTGAATATCATACGATATTATTGAGTACCCCCACCCCTCAGATGAAAATGGTTCAATTCCGGAAATGTATGCAGAAATTTTCAAAACTAAAAGAGGTCTGGTTGTTAAAACTACCACTAATTATTCGGACCAGACAACTACTCCGTGAAGATAATGCGAAGACTTGTGATAATGATCAGTTAGGGCAGTTTATTTGTATATGAATGGCTATTTTGAATGGAAAGTAGCGAAAGATCTATTCGGCGTACCTTAAATAGAATAATCCATTTATTTTGAAATGATACATTTGAAAACGTGGTATAATTGATAATTCAAGACTGATTTTTGAATTAGCAAATCGTTTGGTTAAAATAATTGTAAAACTATTATGAACTGAGACCGTGAAATATGATTAGGAGCAGAATGGCCATAGTCATTCATCTGTCAGAAATTTATCCATTGCCTAATTAATATACCAACGCCGTATTTGGGTGCATGATTTTGTTAATGATACTCATTAATGTTAATCAGTAGTCTTTAATTGGGGACAGTTGAGGCACGGAACAAACAGCGACCTTAAATGGACGTTCCAATTCAGATAACATATCAATCATTCACCGTTATGTAAATAATGAAGTTTGCTAGATGCGCCTAAATGCGCTCCTTTGCAAAATTTGAAACCGGTCCAAATAGTAATTGTTCCAACAAACTCGTCACTTACATCTACTGTAATCATAGTCCGCTTTCAGCTTGGCAAGGAAAGATGAATTTATCGGTTTCGTTAATATTTTGATTAGATTGTGATTTGAAGGAAAGCCCTATTTATTCTCTTATTTCCTATTTGAATACTGGGTAAGTATAGTGTTACCCTAGAGTCTAAAAGAGATTTCGTAAGCAAAAGTCGAATCAGCTACCCTTTTTCTCATAAATTAAATAATTCTTAGAAAAAATGTGATATAAATCAGCCTCTTTGCGGCTACGAAAAGGCTCATTGATGCAATAAAAATAGCTGATAAAACGACAGAAAAACTGAATCATATAACCTTTGAGTAGGATGTTGGATACGAACCCTCGTTCGTGAAAATGCTGATGCTATTGCTGGTATTCATGACACCTTCAATCACTTTCCACGTCTTTTATTGTGGGGAAGCAACTATCTAAATGGCGTAGTCAGTTTGCCTAAAAATAATAATGCTAAGCAAATACTGAAATTATGGCTTTGAGGTTCATGAAAAAGGTAAATTCCACAAAAGGAGGATCATTTTTGAAAGGCTAACTTGATTCTATAGCCTATTTTATAGTCAAGAGGTTGCGATAAGCAACAGTAAGGCTAATATAAAAAAATTCACAATTTTTAACCCTGCGTGAAAAGCCATTATTGGTTTCATTAACTCAATAACTCGAAATATTCGACACTTGAAGATCTTTAGAAATTAAGAAAGTTCTATTTAATCAGAAATCTGAATGGAAATTCGGGCATTTTGAGGCGCAAATCTTTACTCTCTATAATTCTCTTTAACAAATATGCCTTATCATGAATTTTTTTGGCTATATAAGTAAGTTCAACGGGTTTCATCATCTTGTTTCCCTATACCTTTCGTCAATGAAATTAAAATGTTTTTCTTTTTAAATATAGGGCACATTTTTTCGCTTCCAATTTTACCCCTTTCAGTTAAAAGCCACAGTCTGTTTGATGTACCGGTGGAATTAATTAACTGATATATTAAACTGCTAAGTAAATATTTAATTAATGCAATCAATTTCAGAGTTAGTTAATGCAGTTAAACTGCGATTCCTTTATGCCATTGCAAAGAAAGATTCAGTTGAACTGGTTTATGGCGGATTCATCAAATTATTTCTACTCTCCATGATGTGGCTTTCATGTCATTATTTTAAACAAATAACTGAGAGATTATTAAGCTAATGGATGTAGAATGTAAGGATAATTTCGCGAACGAGCATTACTTCTTTCTACTTTACCTACTATGGGCTGCGCAATAGACTTACCTCTACGTGGTGTACCTTGGGCAACGTATGCTTTTACGGCAAAAAGTCTATTAATCGGCAGTTGACTTCTGACTTCAAAATATTATGACCCGACTGTTTGTCATATTCGACGCCTTCACAGTACTCATCTTACCTTTTCTATGCCTTTCTGTCCGTCTGCCTCTTTTACATCTGTGAATCATTATTCTATCCCCCTCTCGATTTTTTGCCACCTTGATGTTCCTCCTCCTCTCTGTAAAGCCCCGAAGTCAGCTAAAGAGCTAATGATGCTGTCAAAACGCCAGCCATTTGAAATAAAAAATACTTTACCTACTACTCAGCTACGCAAGGCAGTTAAAAGGGTAAATATAGCACCAAGTACCAAAAGTGAAAAGTTTGAAATTCTGTTCTACTTCAGCGGTAATTTTAAACACACCGCATTCGCAATATTTCTTAAGAATAACCTCAGGGTAGATTGAATCTTCGCCAGAATAATTTTGAATCGGAAGCAATACCATTAATTCCCATGGTAAAGCTAAATTATATTTTTTTTCCTTTTTTTGTAATCATATAATGCAATAAGAAGAATAAGAAGAATAATTGCCAAAAACCTAGATATATGGCCAATTGGGAGATTAGAAAGAAGTAGAGAACAAAATCATTTTTTACAAAGCACAGCACTTCATTAGGCAATTGGAAATTCCCTTCCATTCCATTTAATTGTTGTATTTTGAATAGTTATAATTTGAACGTTAAGAAATGTCGACCGATTTCTTGAGTAATATTCCATGCCAACAGCACGCACAGCTGATTGACCGGAAAATTTGGCTTGTAAGCCAAGTCACGCCATTTGTTCAACCGACTCAGATTAAACTAATTCATTAAGGTGAAATTCAATAAGTAAGCAGGAAAAGAATAAAGAAACCTATTGTTAAAAAACATTGTAACACATCAAGTCGATTAATAGATATAGGGACTAAATTTAGAAATACGTTCTGGTGAGTACTGCGATGAAGACGTGGATGACCATCTGCAATCCTTACTTTCAGTTTCTCAAAAGCCACCTTGAGCATTATCGACATTTTTCAGTACTAGGTTTCAGATTTTCTACTCCACATTCTATAATATTAGACTCTTAGAAATTCATTTGATTTTGTCAGAAAATTCAATTATATTAATCAAAAGCCAGTTGAGAATCACTCATTGAAAGCGTTTACTTGACAGTTAATTTTGATAATTGAGTCCATGGTCTTTTTGACTTAGTTGCAAGTTGGATAAACTTAGAATTTTGTATCTTTCTTGAAGGAAAGAAGTAGAACCTAGCAAAAAATTTTCCTTAACACATTCCATTTTAAGATATCTTTAGGTATTATTAACACCTTTTCGGGAGAAATGTACTCAAAGGAATCACCGAATTCCTCCACTTTATCAAACTTGTTCGAAAATCCAATTCAAGTGGTAGAAAAGCAATGAATCCACTTACTCTTCCCTGAGATTATGATTAAGAAAACACAATTATGTTCTTCACTATTGTAGTATTTTCAAGCAACTCTCTGTGTTGCCTTCATGCAAGCTGTGTATTTTGAATGGCCGTATTAAAAGTTTATTGATTTCACTTTAACAGTATAACGGACTGAAGAATTAACTCCAAATTTCCATTTTATACCTTCTTATATTAACTAATTATTACTCGATGACATATGCAACCTTGGATAATGAGAAATCTTTGAAAAAGCCTGATTCCTCAAATAACAACTTTGCATTATTTGTGCCTAAGATGCGAACAGATGGCTAGCCATGTGCCAATAACGGCTGTTTAAACGCGGATTGGTTGCCTAATCATCCAATAGCAGTGTTGAAGAGGAAGTGTCCAATCGCCGTGTCATTGTGAGGAAAAACCAGGCGTGAGTGTGTATTGCGCGAAATTAGTGCTTTTCGAGGTGCCTCATTCGACCTAACCAACAGGGGGAGATATTTATTTTAAGAATGGCTCTGCAAGAGTGTGGTCTCCGATACCTTATTGTCCTCCTTATACTTTCCCAACAGTCTTTATGTCAGCGGAGAATCAGCGCCCAGTTCTCACTTGGGGATAATACAGACAGCGGTTACCGAGTGGGAAATCTCTTTACCAATCGTCCAGACAGCCTGACGTATGGCCAGAGTTTCCTTTCCGCTATGATGAAACCCGATGATCATTTTAAGCTATCTACAAATGGAGATATCACAACTAGCCATGCACTTGATCGGGATGTTATATGTAGTAAATTGGACTGTTGTGAACTACCTGCCTGTTATATGAATTCAGAAGCATATTTCTTTACCATTCGACAACAACCACTTGTATTTAATGTAACTTTTGTCCTCTCAGATGAAAATGATAATCCTCCAAAATTTGATATTTCTCAGGAGAGTTTGGTAAAATTGCCTGATTGGATACCTCATCAATATCGCTCACTTCCCTTTTTCCAATTGTCAGTTCCTGAGTCTGTGAAAGTGAGTACTAAGCTCCCTCTCCCTTTGGCTACTGATCCTGATTCGATTGATTTTGGAATTGGTTCCTACGAATTGCAGCCTCTTCATATAAACGTATCGTCAATCACACTTAATCCGTTCCGACTTGTTCATGATAGACCACGATATGGAAGCGAAATTCTAACATTAGTAACAGGAAGAAGTCTAGACAGGGAAGATCAGGATGAATATTGGTTTTTACTAACAGCTATAGGAAACGGTGCACCTATGCTAACAGGAAGCTTGTTACTTCGAATCCAGGTTGATGATATTAACGATAATATGCCAGTCTTCCAGCAACCTCTATCAAAATCTGGACATACCATTGAATTACCTGAAAATATTCCCGTTGGGAGGATTGTTTATACATTCAAAGCGACTGATCTCGATTCAGGAGAAAATGGAAGAATAACTTATGCGATAAATTATAGGGCCAGTTCACCTAGAACCTCGGCACTTGTGAATAAATGGGTGTTAGATCCTGGTACCGGAGACTTATCTGTTGCTGGAGTTCTTGATTATGAAAATAAGGACGATAGAAAATTTGTACTAAGTTTGATGGCAAAAGATGGCGGAAATCCTCCCTTGACAGCGACCACTACCTTCACTATTCTCATCACCGACTTGAATGACAATCCACCGGCAATTGAAATCAAATCCACTGGAGAGCAGGGTGACTCAGAGAATCTTTATGACCTCGACGAGAATGATGGTGAAACACGACTACTCAAACTCATTTCTGTCAGCGATCCTGACTCTCATCCACCTGAAAGTATATCCTGCAGTTTGAAGGGAAAGCGGGGTGATTTTACTCTCCAAAAATACAACTCCCTTCTCTATGGTCTATTCAATAACCGATCTTTTGACTATGAGAAAGACGCCGATGCTAATGGCTTTCTAAATATTGGTCTATCTTGCTCGGATAATGGATTTCCTCCACTGTCATCAGATCTCATTGTCAAAGTTAGCCTTCGTGATCGGAATGACAACTGGCCACAATTTAAATACCAGTCGTTTGTCTTTAAAGTGTATGAAGACATTCCAGTTGGATCAGCTATTGGACAAATTGTGGCTTGGGATGCAGACAGTGGTCGGAGGGGAAAGCTCACTTACTGGCTAAGTGCTGATGACCCAGATGATCTGGATTTAATTGTAATTGATCGTGACACTGGATCTCTAATGACAAAAGCTGCATTGGATCGTGAAGAAAAGGATATTCTTCACTTTCGCGTAACAGCTGCTGACGGAGGGAACCAAGATCTACATCAAGAATTCGAAGAAATTCCGCGAGATGCAAAAACGAATACAACAAGCATAACGGTTCATTTACTGGATGTTAACGACAATGCACCGCAATATTTAGGCGAAAAGGAGATACACGTCCGAGAAAACAACGAGGAGGGATATGTGCTTCTTGATAACCTTCAGTTTCAAGATAATGACTTAGGTAAAAACGGGACAGTCCGACTATTCCTCACGGACTATGGTTATGACGCTGTGGAGTATTTAATGCCGACACATTCAAATGGAATATTTACACTTATTAATGACAAACAGTTGGTGTTAGCAGAGTCTATTGATCGGGAACAGAATTCACAGTTCTATGTGAGGATAATCGCCATGGATGGAGGCAAAATTCAGCTAACAAGTACCACTACCTTGACTGTGATAGTTGATGATGAAAATGATAATTATCCTCAATTAACTCATCCATTAAATGGCACTATGCTCTCAGGACCATCACATAACTATGAAAATATGGATAATCAAGAAAGCCGGAGAATTCCCGTAGACACCCCCATTGGTAGTCTGGTAACAACTTTACGATCTAGAGACCTCGATGCTGGTGATAATGGTAGAGTATCATATCGCCTTCATAAAGCAGAACCCAGTGAACTCTGGTACCCTACTCAGCAAAATCATGTAAGATATATGGGAATCGACACTCCTCTACAGAAGCATAAGCTAGTGTCTGACGGATATCAGTACTTTAAACTTGATGAAATCGATGGTCATTTACGCACTGCTTGGCTATATGGAAGTCATAAGAACCCGATCGAAGGAAATTCTACTGGAAAGCCTCCCTCCCCACCCCCTTTCGGAGTCCACGTTCTTGTCATTGAACTCAAAGATGGTGGTAATCCTCCATTATCATCTCGAGTTATGCTCTATGTTAATATCACTGAAGCGACTAGTTCTGGATTTTTCGGTCTTGGGGGATTTGGATTTGGTGAGGCTGGACTAGGGAATACTGTTATTCTCATTCTCATAATTGTGTGCAGTTTTGTGCTTATAATTAGTCTTACTGCTGCAATTTTCTGGGTTCGATTGCGAGTCTATACAAATAATGGGATTCCATCTCAAGCAAATGGTGTTAAATATCAGGCGGGATGTGCCACCATGTACCACGAAAGTCTCCCAAGAGATCAACATGATGGAGGATTGGGCTATATTGATGGAACTGGAACTTTTAAACCTCTAGATGGTATTCGATGGAATACCCCTAATATGCTTGATCCATTGCAATATGCTGTACACACATCTTCTGACATTGGCTCTCAGGATGCGAATGCTCTGACGTTTATTAGTAAGACATCGAATGGATATCTAGAATCTGAGGATGTTCAAATTCTACCGATGATACACTCATCCGATCCAGATGGAGTGTTACTACGAGGATATGATCAACTATTATCTGGAAATGGAGGCCAGTATGAGTTTTGTTTCCCAGAGGCCGTTCCACCGAACTTCAGTCATCTTCAAGCTGGATCAACAGAAAGTGACAGTGGATTAGACAGTGGTGGGTACATGGTTGGTCATGCTTCATCGCCATCACCTGAAGGAGCAACAGAAAAAATGACGAGCCCAGGATCTGATTTGAGTGTTCCTTCCACATTCAAGCCTACTCGGGGTCGTCCCTTTATTCATACTTCCACCAGTGGATGCCATACAATATCCTCCGATTGCCTTAGGCAAAGTCCCGCTAAGCAAATGCATCTTGGACAGGTTTGCAACAACGCGGATCTAAATGTTATTCATAAAAGCCTCGTCTACATTCCTCGTGACTCGGTAAGTACTCACTTTTCAACTTACTTTAAACTTATTCATTATCAACGTTAGAAGAGATTTGTCATTCATGAGCTCTTTTGTTTCATTGTCTTTGCACATTTTGAGTTGTTACTTGATGATTTCAAAGCGTTTAAACTCACTGTCGTTTACTCAACGATTGTTCATGAGTATTGAAATGTATCGTTCTTTGATATCAACATTTGGCTGGAAGCAAATATATTTACTAAGCATGATAACATATTTTCCAGACAATGAGGCATAATTTTATTGAAAACAATTTGATTTTACTGCTATTGAGGGGAATAAAACCACCAATATAAGTCTGATTTCTTTTGAAATTGAACTACTGGTCTGCAATATACGCTGATTGCATAAGCTTGAAACCTATTAATTAAATTAACTCCCTTAAAGCACTAAAATCCTTCCATAGGGTTTGAGTAGTAGTAGCGTTTTAGTTAATTGCTTCTCCTGTTCAATCCCCCCCCCCCCGGTTATCTACGAAGCTTCGACTGCCTCCCCCTGGAGGGTGGATAAGTGAAGTAGCTTAGAAGAATGAAGATTAGTCCTGCAAAAATTAATACGGAGGAAATGACGCAGACTTAAAAGAATATAAATAGTCTGAAGGCAGACCATTTTTAGGCAAATGGGGAGAGATATGTTGCATAACTTTAGCTTGAATCTTCTATGTTAAAGATTTACTTTCAAAGTGAGGGGTGGGGTGTGCGATAGACTTACCTCCACGTGGTGCACCCTGGGCAACGTATACTCATTCGGCAAAAAGTCTTTTAACCGGCATTTGACTTCTCACTTCAAACTATCATGACCCTACTGTATGCCATGTTCGACCACTACCACAGTACTCATATCTCTTTGTTCTCTGCCTTTGTGTCTGTCTGTCGCTTTTACACCTGTAATACATTCTTCTATCCTCCCTCTCGACTTTTTCACCTTGATGTTCCTCTCCCTCTGTGAAGCCTGAAGTCAACTAAAGGGCTAATGGTAACTATCAAAACGCCTGCCATTTGAAATAAATAGATAAACTTTCAAAGGGCTGATAATGAGGATTTCCGTTCAATTAAGCTATTGCATAGGCCTAAGCTTCTTGAGAATGGAGAATTTTTAATTTTTTTCGCCTTTACAAGTGAGTCAAAAGGGAACCGAAGGAGGAGAGGATGTTGCCGACAGCGTATAAATAATTTAAACTCCCTTAATCCCCCATGTCCTGCCTCTCTCTCGCCCTCCACCCATGGACCCGAGGCTCATTAGAAAACTCGTAAAATCGGGTCAGTGGTAATGAAAATGGCCCATCAAAAAAAAAGAAAACTATTTCCTATCGACTCTTGACTTAGATTCCATCTGAAACTTCGAGTTACTGGTGCTTACAGAGATTTCAATTACGATCTCAACTTATACAAATGCTGGAATGGGTTCTTAGAGGAATAAAGGTAAATTTATTCAGTTAGTTTGAGAAGTAATTGGTCTTTTCTAGAACATGAATGCCAAAAAATGTGCATATATTTTATATCCAAGTATTATGATTAAAAATCTCCCTATTAAATGGGAAAATCTCCTAAGAACTCTGCAATATTCGAAGCCAAATTTCGTTTATTGAATTGCATATCGAATTTACTTTCTGTTCAAAAGTTGAAATGTGTGCTAATTGTGAATTGTTGGAGGGTATTTCTTGTGTGATGGTACCCATTATCTAACTTTTGTCCTTTTTTGATTGATTAGTAGAGCAACTGCGTTTATTTAATGACGAGACTGACAGCCTACGATAAACTGCCTGATAAGTCTACTTTTAATAACCTCACTTTTTGTTCTGGTAATAGAGACTAAATCAATGGATTTTAGCCAAGTATGTTTCCCACCTACGTTTCAAGCAATGGCAAATGTTTCTGCGGAACCACATGGGAATTTGT